GAATGCCCTAGAACAAAAAGAAGCAAACTCACCCAGGAGGAGTAGACGCCAGGAAATAATCAAATTGAGGGATGAAATCAATCAAGTAGAAACCAGGAAAACATTGCGAAGAATCAGTGAAACAAAGAGTTGGTTCTTTGAGAAAATCAACAAGATAGACAAACCTTTGTCCAAACTAACCAAAAGACAGAGAGAGCATGCTAATTAACAAAATCAGAAATGAAAATGGAGACATAACAACGGATACTGAGGAAATCCAGAGAATCATCAGGTCATACTTTGAAAACCTGTACTCCACAAAATTCGAAAATTTAAAGGAAATGGACAATATCCTGGATAGATATCCTACCGCTCTGACCTCCACAAAGGGACATCACTAGCAATTCAAAGCACTCTTGGAGACTGTCTACAGACTCAGTGTGCTAGCATGCCCACTTGAACAGTCACCTGTGGCCATATCACCCATCCACAGCACTAGTTACTTGTAATGGTCCAGGAGCCCAGCAACTCCCAAACTGCAGAATTAAAGCAGAGGAACAGCCATGGTAGGAAGGAAGGAAGATGCAAGTGTCAGTCCCATACACAGACATCCAAGGCAGGTTCAGAAAATTCTTCCTTGGGGTTTAGTGGGTAAGGGCTCTTGCTGTGCAAGCATGAGATGCTGAGTTTGGATTCCCAGCAGTGTGAGGAGTGTGGGGGTTTTGTTGCTGTTGTTTTGGTTTGGTTTTGTTTTTTAAAGGGTTGAGTTTGACCACACATACAAGCCTGCCTGTCTCCACAGCTGTGTGGAGGGCAGAGACAATTAGTGCTTGTCCAGCTAACTAGTCAAAATATAAGCTCTAAAGTTAAAGACCCAATATCAAGGGGATATGGCAAGAATGATGGAGTAGGAAGTCCAATAGATTTGTGCAATACACTATACACACACTACACATATATCACACACACATACATTACACACAATACACACACATATACAATATAACATAACTCACACACACTACACACACACTACTCACACACACATACACTACACACACACACACACACATATATATATATACACTATATACACTACACACACACACACACACACACACACACACACACAACTCATGTATACATCCTACCTCTTCACCTGGAAAATGTCCATTTTTCTTAAGGGTGTACCTAGAATAAAAAGCCTGATCTCATGTAGATCAGGACTCTACAGATGATCTCCTGAGCATTCACCCTTGAAACATTTCTAGTTGACCCACCCCCACTCCCCAGATGTGTGTCATTCAGAGTATAACTGTAGCATGTACTGTAATGCTCAGCCCCGCAGCTGCCAAGTGACAAGTGCCCAGTAGGTATTTCTGTAATAGTGCACCAAAGAAACATGAATAATAAATGCTGGCACTGCAGTGAAAGGCAAGAGGTCACACTCCAGCAACCCTAAGCAGCTCCAGGGCCCTCTTGAGGAAGTCCCAAGGGCAGCATTGCTTGTCAGCTCAGAGCAACTGGCTATATTCTGAGCCATCAAAAGGGGAAAATACACTTGGTTTAATATTTAATGCAGAGAATTTTTATAGATTTTAAGATTTTCATTGAAAATATTTTATTTGATTCCTAAAACTACATATTTCTCTGATTTCTATTCAAAGTGTTTTCTGGGCCTTCAGCTTTTTTGTAGTGAAGGGATGTAGTAGTGCCTATCACATGACAGTCATGGGACAGAGACACTGCCAGACAGTCTGTTTTACTCCAATTTCTGTTGCTATTTCTCAGAACTCGTGACTGGATAATTTATAAAGTAAAGATGTTCTCTTGGGCTCATGGATCCAGAAATTCAAAATCCTGATACCAGCAGATGTTCAACTTCTAGTGAGGCCCTTGTGATAGAAAATATGAAGAATATAGTGGAAGACTTTATGTGTCAGAATAATGGGTGAATAATGAGTAGAAGCTGGCAGAGAGAGAGAATAAAACTCCCAAGAAAAAAATGACATTAAGTCATTCATAAAGCCAGATCCCCTTCATGATGAACATCTCCTAAGGTCTCACCATCTCTTCACAGCATTGTACAGAGGGCCAGAGTTTGGGGAGAGACAAACATATTCAAATGGAAGAGAATGCCTCTAACCAACTCAAGCAAAACAAAACAGATGAAAAAGAATACAACGAAGGCTGACCCGGGCAAACAGGAAGTATGGCAGATCATGGAACTCAGCCAGCAAGGACTCACTGACCAGACAACTTGAGCCCAGAGTTCCTGGCATGGGTCGTCCTTCCTTGAGACACTTCAATCATGTTGGCAAATCTGAGATGAGGACCCAGGAGCCCTGGCAGAGTCACACCCTTTCTCCATGATCAGTGGAGGCCAGAGCCTACAGCTAAAATATCCACAGCCCCCCACAGTGGTGGAGAGAACACAGGCTCTGAAGAATAAGGAGGAAAAGCTGTGGGGTGTAGATTTTAAAATGTCTGGCAATCCAAAAGTCAGGTGAGCAAGGGGGAGAGCTCCGTTACTTTACACAGAGAGCTGGTTAATAGTATGACTGCAACAAAGGGCCAATGGGAATGGACACAAGATTGTTTGAGGAGTAGACAAGGACCAGAGCACAAGGCATCTTCTGGGACACACCACAGTGTGTACTTTATCCAAACAGCCTGAGGGACCACTGAGCTGTTGATGATGGGGAGCAACATGAGGAGATGTACATTTCTCAAAGATCACCTGGCAGAATAAGAGTTGGCTGGGAGGTAGACAGACCTCGTAAAGAGCTACTATGGCACTTAGGGCATGAGTGATGAGGGCTGGGCAAGTGGCAAGAACTAATGAAGGAGGAATCCTAAGATTTGATGGCTAAACATGATATCAACGAAAAACATAGCTCTTCCTCAAAGGAAATAATTAGTGGTTTATCCTGAACCAGAGATGAAACTGCGGGTCCCCCTGATTGTATGATTCAGGTCCCCTTGAATGGTATGCTCAACTAAGGAGGAAGTTACTTAAACATTCGTGGTCATAAAACGAAAGAAAATCACAAATCATTGCATGCACCAAATAACTCAGTGGGGACATCAGTTAGGTGGGGTTATGACAGAGCAGCAGGAATTTTTTCTGTAGGTTTCAGGTGCCATCTTGTGGCATTCTTGTCTTGAATTTAGTGGCAGCTAGTGGTCTGCTAAATTTACAGTGTATTCCAAAAGTTTTACTTGACATCATAAAGATGTTAAGTCAGATATGTAGGTTGGTAGCAAATGACCATTAAGAGGACTAAAGATAGATGAAGATATTTGGCTCCATGTACAACTTTCCATCTTCTCATAATTATGAAGTCCTGGCCAGTTAGTCTGCAGGACCTTTAGTCCAGATGGTTTCTTCTAGGAACTACAGTCCACTATGGGAAATGGGAGAAATGGGCTGTTCTAAAGTCATCAAAAGATGTATACCTTGATGACTAAGCATATGTGGGATTTGTAAAAAGATGGAGTAGAGGTAAAAGGTGAGCTCAATTTGAGATCTGTCATGTCTGGGTTTCTAGTGGGATCTTAATACCCAGAATCCTACATATTCAAATTTAAACAACAGCAAAAGTGACAACACTATCTCTTAGCCATTAAAAACATTTAATGACAATTCTCCTTGTTAAAGAGTCACTGTCCAGTAAAGACAAATTAACAAGGCATACAGTGCAGGAAGATAATATGCTGTTACATAAATAGTTACAGTGTAGTGTGGTTGCTTTGATAAACTGTTTCTTGTACTATCTGACTCAAAGCCAGCACTGGGCAGAAAACAGAGATGGATTTTAGTTATTATTATACTCCTGAGGTCATTTTTGGGATCCCCAAACTGAACCTTTTCAACTCTACAAACATCTTTAAACTGTGAAGATATGAATTATTTTTAATTTTCCTCTACAATTCAATTTCATTTATTTCTACCAAATAAGTATATTTATTTTTAAGCATGTACATATCTGTAGAAATGTTATATATGGCACATAACTGGCCATAAACCAATGAAGAAGAGTTTGCAAATAATGATAATAAAACAAAGACATGAGTTGTGAAACAAAGGGCCCTTGCAACTGCCTTGGTGTGTGAATGGCTTGCTCCTGCCTAACTGGACAAACACATTCTGATGGCAGTTGTAAAAACACAGCTGCCAGGTGCCTCCCTGGTAACTTATGTGTCAACTTGACTGAACTACAGTAGCCAGACATTGGATTGTAAGAACCAAAGGGGACAGATGGCTCTAAGAACTGCATCTTTCAGATACAACAGGACTTATGTACATGTGAAGGAACAGAGACTGTAATAGCATGCCAAAACCTGCCCAAGTTCAAACCAGACAAAGTCCCAGCACTGACAAGGGACAAGCAGACACACCAAGTCCCACCTCTAACCAAGAAGCTGTTTGCAACTTATAATTCTTGGGTGAGGGGAAATCAGTTTTCTCCAATGAAATGTCACTGGGTAATCAATTATATTTCAGGGTAGGCTCTATGCCCAGGAGCAGTTGGCCAGCACAAAATTGACCAGAGGGTTTTTGTGTGCACTTTTTGGTTTGTTTTGGTATTTTTGTCTTATTTTTTTTAGTTTGATTTACTATTTTGTTGTTTTTTCTTCTTTTGTTTTAAGAAGAGAGAAAGAGAAAGAATGTGAAATTGTGTGGGTAGCAAGGTGGGGAGATCTGGGAGAAGTTAGAGGAGGGGAAAGAATACAATCAAAACATGTCTGAAAAATTTTAAATAATCTCCCTCCCTCTACTCTGTATAAAGTAACTCCAATTAAACTTATATATATATATATATAATTACTTGATAAGATAGATAGGCTTCCATGTGTTTTTTTCAAATATTCTTAGTATTATTTATTCCTTTTCTGTCCTTTCCACCCATCTATATCCCCATTTAAACCTTCCCCTTATTCTTGCCCTGTTTACCGTTATACAGTATTTAGAGTTTTGAAAGTAAAGACAAATTTCATTAAAAGACAGATACTTCAAGTTTTTATGAAGATACTGATTTTTAATTCTAGTAAGACCGGAGTATTAGTAGAAAGTCCCAGCTTTGTTTCCTAATGTGGTTGAAACTTTCCCCTACGCCATGTAGTTGCTATGTGACGTCATCGGGGGCAGCAGATGGACTTCGTGACTTCTGACCTTTGGCTTTGGAAGGGTTGAGGGAGGAGGAGACGGCTCAGTCTCTAATGTGTTTTGCTGGTGGGAAAGTGGAAGATCTCCGCTTCAAATGCCTGGAAGCAACACAGCAGGTTAAAAGTAAGTACCCCAATCAAGGAACTGACTTCACAGCCCACTGCCAACTGAGTATGTGGGCAGGAATTGCTGTGAGGACAGGCATCGAAGAGGCTGTGAGACCCAAGTGCAGTTGACCCACCTCCACCCCCTCCACCCCCTGACCCCTCCCCCCTCCCCCCACCCTCACCCCTTCCCCCCCCCTGCCCCGGCAGCCCTCCCTACCTTGGTGTTCCTGAAGGGTAGTTTGAAGGCTGGTAGACTCCTGTGTGTTCTCTGTCCCTCAGGCATTAATTAGGATTCAGTTCTGTCTACTTAGATTTAATACCCCAATGCTTTTTGTCCCCAATTTTCCAATCTGTGCCTCAGGAACACACAGCTGACAGTTAAGATCCCCAGGGAGTCAGATCCAGCCACTCCCACAGGTATCAAGACATGCTGGCCAAATCCCTTATAGGGACCTAAGTAGTTTTTTTTTTTTTTCTGGAAATGCTTCTTGCTTTCAGAAACAGGACCTTTGTCAGACCTTGAAATCAAGTTAATAATATGCTTTGAGATCATTTAGAACTATGTACTCAATACTGTGTGGTCAGCCTGGTTAACTTTAACCTGACCTTAAGAAAACAATGTAACCAACCTTACTCTTATACCTTTGGACTTGTCTTGTAAACAGCTTTTACAACCTAAACTAAGTGCATAGCTTTAATCTTATCTAAGTACTCTTCCATGACTCTGACCCAGAAGTGTGTGTATGCATGCTTGTGTGTGTGTGTGTGTGTGTGTGTGTGTGTGTGTGTGTGAGTGGGGGGTGGGGGGTGTGTTGGGGTAATTATTTGCTGAAAGAAGCCAGAAACTTGAAAGTAATCTTTAAAAAACAACAAAAAGAACTAAATAACTAAATGATAAATACAAACAAATATCCTATGAATGTTGGAAGCAACATGTGGATACAGGGTGAGGTTGTGAGCACTACTTGGGGTCAGCTTTCCCTTGTAAAACCTGTTAAAGCTTCTTATTTTAGAAAAAAAATCATTCTTCAATCCTTTCCCACACCATGCTTCCTGTGCTACACTGTAAATACAGGGCAAAGTCTTTGTTACAAATAACAGGAACAGTCAGACATTGCACAAACACACACCATGCTGCAGACCACAAATGACATACAGAAGGAAGACACACTAAGAAGTGAAACATTCAATTTGGCCTCACTCTTCCTCTAACCAGCTCCAAGACGAAGAATTTGCTTTTAATTTCTTAATGCAGTATCAATGAAGAAAATGGCAGAGTATTTTCATGGAACCTACACATATCTTCCCATGTATCTTAAATATCAAATAGTCCATGCATTGGCTGTAATACTTAAAAGAGTGTAAATGCCATGTAAGTACTTGGTAGATTCTATTGATTAGGAACTAATAAACAGAGAAATACGTTTTGATCTGCGGTTGGTTGGATCCACATACATGGAACCATGAGAAGGAAACAGACTAGTTGGTCTTTATTTACTGTACTTGGAAATGACTGCACCAATGGCCAGCTGGGGATGCTGTAGACATGTTTCTGGCATGGAGAAAAATGGATAACAGACTAGAAGACAACCAAAATTCCTTCTAGACTCAGGATGCCATTGTTTACAAACACAGCAATTGCACCAGCCATCCCCCACCCTCACAATGAGCATCCCTGAGGAGAAGCAGGCCCCACAGGAGCCACAGTTCACACCAGGCAGCCTTGGGCTGCAGCAGCTGCTTCACCTGCTCCTTTCTCTGTTCCCCTCACTGCTCTGTGCTTCCTCCAGGACTTAACACCACAGAGACTTCACGTTTACTTGAGACTTTATTCCATCAAGGACTGCCTTCTAGTCTTCCCTGAGAACTAGTCTGCCTGGGGAACATCCTTTCCCTAGAACCTTACTCACAGTGGGAGTTCAGTTATTCCCTGAATGTCTACCTCTGGCCCACTGGTTTTTTTTTTTTTTCAAGTTTTCTGACCATTTCACACTTCCTTGAGCTAGTCCTGGCTTTCTGCAGCTCACCTGAGTGACAGGGGATCAGTCCTTAGAGATTTCTCCTTCCAGCGAGGTTGACACTTCATTTTGCCCTTCCTAGACTTTGTTTGAACCTGTTCATTCTGCTCCAGTGTCTCTGACTACCACTGTTCCAGGAATAATATGCCTTCCCAGTAAGAAACCAATCTGCACACTGACAGATTAATAAAAGAAAAATTCTGAACTAAAAAAAAATTGTGTAGCCAACTGTGGCTAGTGCCTGAAGAAGAGCCTGGCTGAAACAGAAGATTTTACTAACAATATCCACATTCATGGTCATCCTTTAATCTCATCTCTTAGACCCTAGCCCCAGATTACACTTTGAACAATTTAAACAAAGACAAGCAGACTGCAAATCCGGCCACTTGGGCAAATGATTTATAAAGCAAAGACTGCCAAGTTAGAGTTATTTCTTTTTTTTTTTAATTTATTTTCAGTTTAAATTTAGATTAGAAACAAGGTTGCTTCACAAGTCAATTCCAGGTCCCTCTCCCTTTCCCTCCCCTCCTCCCGTGCCCTCTCCCCAACTCCCCCCCAATATCCCCTCATTTCCCCAGGAAGGGTGAGGCCCTCCATGGGGGTGTCCATAGTCTGTCATTTCATCCAGGGCAGGGCCTAGACCCTCCTGCAAGACTTCAGGGTGAGAGTGCATCTCACATTGTTGGATGGGAGTCCAAAGTCCGTGTGTATACTCGGGATGAGTACTGATCTACTGCCCAAGGTTCAATAGATTACCTAGGCCTCCTCACTGACACCCACATTCAGGGGGTCTTGATCAGTCCCATGCTGGATTCCCAGGCTGATGCCTGAGATTCAGGAGTTAACCTTTGTCAGGTCAGCTGTTTCTGGGGGTTAAACCAGCCCAGTCTTAATCCCTTTGGTCATCAGTCTTCCCTCTCTGTTACTGGCTTTCTTGAGTTCAGCTCAGTGCTTAGCCGTGGGAGTCTGCCTCTTCTTCGATCAGCCACTGAATGAAGTTTCTGTTTCCCAGACTCTCTGGCCATGGGATTGTAGGCTGGCACTCCCCAGATCTATGTCTAAAATCCATATATGAGAGAGTACATGCCATGTTTCTCTTTTTGTGACTGGGTTACCTCACTCAGGATGGTTTCTTCTAGTGTCATCCATTTCCATTGTTTTTTTCTGCTGAATAGTACTCCATTGTGTAAATGTACCACATTTTCTCTATCCACTCTTCGGTTGAGGGGCATCTAGGTTGCTTCCAAGTTCTGGCTATTACAAATAATGCTGCTATGAACATAGTGGAACAGACATCCTTGTTGTGTGAATGGGCATCTTTTGGATATATGCCTAAGAGTGGAGTTGCTGGATCTTGTGGTAGGTTTATTCCCATTTTTCTGAGGAATCTCCATACTGATTTCCAAAGAGGCTGAACAAGTTGGCACTCCCACCAGCAATGGAGGAGTGTTCCCCTTTCACCACATCCTCTCCAGCATAAATTGTCATTGGTGTTTCTGATTTTAGCCATTCTGACAGGAGTGAGATGGTATCTCAGAGTTGTTTTGATTTGCATTTCTCAGATGGCTAAGGATGTTGAACACGTTCTCAAGTGCCTCTCAGCCATTTTAGACTCCTCTATTGAAAATTCTCTATTTAGTTCTGCAGCCCACTTTTTAATTGGATCCTTTGGTGTTTTGGAGACTTGCTTCTTGAGTTCTTTGTAAATTTTTAGAGATCAACCCTCTGTCAGATGTGGGGTTAGTGAATATGTTTTCCCAATCTCTGGGTTGCCTTTTTGTCTTGCTGACTGTGTCCTTTGCCTTACAGAAGCTTCTCAGTTTCATCAGGTCCCATTTTCTTAAGTTCACTCGTGATGTTCTTTTCTCAAAGTTGTTATCCAGGTTCATCTTGCTCATCTGGCAGAATTATGCTTCTCCTGATCTCCTGATAAAAGCACAGGGGACTTGGCAGCCCTTGAGGTGCTATTTATGTTCTTTACTATGGGAAGGGGCCTAATGGCTGATTAGAAGTCACAGTTCTGTCCTTTGTTATGGGAATAGAGCCTAATCTGAGATCAATCTTGGCTAATAAACATAAGCCGAAACTTTCTCAGCAAACCCAAACTCCAATATGATACAGAATTTTCTTTCTTATGGTTTCTGATGAGCCTTGCTAGTACACTTTTTATCTGCAGTCACATTGGAGGCAGCGCTACTTTAGCTAAATCTTGTTTTGTGTAACATAATATCAGTAAAATCTTTCCAGTATTAATATTACTACTTCAAGGTTCAGGAGAAATACCACCTCCATTCAGGAGACAGTTACAACTATAATAGACACCTTTTACCAAAATGCATCTGAAGACAGTCACATTCTTTTCAACTCTGAAAACTCAAATGATACTGTCTCAAGGGACTTTGTCCATCTTGGTAGTCCTCAGAGGACAGAGCAGGAGAGATTTACCCCAAGGATCAGCTAGTGTGCAGGGAAAGAAGCTTACAGAGATAGGATGTGACACAATGTGACCCCCAGTGGCATTTTTTCACTTCATGAAATCTTTAGTTTTCTTCTCAGTAACAGAAGGTTTGGCCAAATAGATGTGCTCTCTCCCATTCCTGAAAAATCTGTCATTGGCCATGACATTTGTCCCAAGAGTAACTACTCCATCCCTTGTGGAATAAGGCACCAAGTTTACTTTAGTAAATATATCTTGATCCCCAAGGAAAGTAGGTCACAATAGAGGCTGTGGCCTAGATATCTATTGTTGAAACATAATGGCTGGGTGTTTAACAGAAATATGTTGAGTGTGGACTAGTGAAATTATTTCTCCCAATAGTAACAACCAAGTGGAGTTTCATCCTCTGTCAACTTTTCAGTGTTCCCAAGTACAGACAAAGGATGACTTGACATAAAACAATGAATGATTTTTTTTCTGAGACCTTGTCAGGAGTATGCTAACCAGAAATAGTCTCATTTGTGTCTTTCCAAATGTCAGATTTTAAAAATAACAATAACTCACAAGCTGTACATGGGTGTTGCTGGCTGCAATTTGCCTAGTTGTACCACTTTCCCTAGATAGATGGCCACTGGCAAACATTGGCTATTTTATTAGGAATTTAATTACTAGTGTGAAGGTTTGGAAAAGAATGACCCTGTAGGCGCATATCTTTGAATACTTAGTCACTAGGGAATGGCACAGTTTGAAAGAATTAAAAAGATTGGGTGGTATGGCCTTGTTGGAGGAATTGTATCTCCAAGGATTGACTTTGAGATTTCAAAAGCCCTCCATGCTCAGTCTCTCTCTCTCTCTGTCTCTCTGTGTCTCTCTGTGTCTCTCAGTGTCTTTCTCTCTGTCTCTCTGTCTCTCTCTCTCTGTGTCTCTCTCTGTCTCTCTCTCTCTCTGTCTCTCTCTCTCTCTCTCTCTCTCTCTCTCTCTCTCTCTCTCTGTCTCTCTCTCTCTCTCTCTCTGTGTGTGTGTGTGTGTGTCTGCCTACAGATCGGAACAGGTTGTAGCTCTCAGCTACTTCTCCAGCACTGGCCCTCATGCCACATGCTCCCTTCCAGGATGATAACAGAATAAACCTCTGAAACTGTAAGCAAGCCCCCAATTAAATGCTTTCTTTTAGGCCATGGTGTCTCTTTACATCAATAGAACAGTGACTAGGATATGTTACATTAACATTCAGGTCACACATGACACCTCACACAGTAATATGTATGTGTGTAGGCTACAGAATGGTTACAGGCCACAAAGGATTAAAGAAGTCTCAGAGTTCAAAGAATGAAGAAGCAGGACAAATGGTTGACACACACATGCATGGGGACCCTGAGGCTGCTAGGTAAGATATACGATATTGGTGAGCTTCCAGGAAGGGTGGCAGGAGGCACACAGAGCTGGTTGCAAAGTGAGCCAAGCTGCAGAAGCAGGGAATTGGTATGGACTGGACAGAAGGATTAAGAGACAGAAGGATGAGCAAAGGGCAAATCCAGAGGGTTTTATCAAGCAGTGGAAACCATGCTGAGCTGTAACCCAAAGGAAATAGCAGTCTGCTTGTTTTCTTTTACTCTCTCTGTTTTCATATCACAGAGATTCAGTCATGGGAGTGGATGGTTGTAGGCAGATGTTTCTTTCTCAATCCCAGCTTCCAGTCCCAAATAACTGACACAGAGGTTTAATATTACTTTTAAATGATCAGCCAATAGCTCAGGCTTATTCCTAACTAGCTCTTACATTTTAAGTTAACCCATTTTCCTTGTTTACACTCTGCCATGTGGCAGTACCTTTATTAGCATGGCATGTTTATCTCCTGCTCCCCCTGTGTCTGTCTGGGTGACCACTCTAACTCCATCCTCCTTCTTCCCATCAGTCTCAATTTGACTTTCCTGACTAACTTCCTGCCTGACTACGGACCTGTCTGCTTTTTATTAACCAATAAGAGTTATAAACCTTCACAGTGGAAGGATTATTCCATTGCAGATGGCTACCAGCTGGACAAACAGAAAGGGGACTTTCCATTAATCAAAAGTACTAGGGATACATAGAGAGTCAGTGACATCAATAAGACATAGCCACTTGCAACTTAGGAGTTCACTATCCTCTTGGGGACATTCCTTTAAGATGGTCAGCTCATTGGAAAGAATCCAGGATGAGCCAGAGTGAGACAAAGTTAGTGGAGTAAACATTTAGACAGGAAGTTGCACAGGGACAAAACAGTTCACCGTCCCAAAGCAGGAGAGTGGACTCCTTAAAGGAGTCACACTTACATGCTTTCCCAAGACATCATCTTTGCAGAGGCCCAAACCAATGAGGCTGTTTGATTTTGATTTTTTCAAGATAGAGTTTCATGCAGGCCAGGCTGGCTTCAATTTTCCTATGTGGCTGAGGCTGACCTTGAACTCTATCCTCCCTCTATCTCCCAAGTGTTGATATTACAGATGTTTGCGACACCTGGTAACTTTCCTCATCTTAACAAACAAGACCTTACACCAAATTCTGTGTATGTGTCATTGAAAAGAAATGGAAATCTCATAGCAACTGAGGTGAGAAACTGGTCCAATGTGTTTTACAACCCTGTGCTCTCAATCAAATGCAGTGTTGGGAAAATTCAGAGACTGCCCCACTGCTTCATGCTGTCTCAAGGCTGTCCTCTACAGTTGTCTACGGCTACCCTCTTTTGAACTGAGGGTTAACCACCCCAGGATACAGTGTCTTCCAGTTGAGTGTCCTTAGCATGGTGACACAGCCTCCAAATCAGAGGGTCTTTACTCTTATGACCTGCTCTGGGGCCTTTGCTACTGATGTCATAACTTTCTGATTGAATCGAAGAATGGCTATTACTTTCTATAAGTAGGAAATGAAATACTAACTCACTCAACTGGGAAACCAAGAGAATCACATCCCAGAAAACTAGTAGAAAACAAACAAACAAACAAAACACGGTTCTCCCCACTTACTAAACATGTAGCTTATCTTCTAAGAAAGGGACTCAAT